GAGCATTTTATGGCAAACTTAGTTCTAGGAATAACGTAGTCTAGTAAAACTGTGAAGTGTACCCACAATAGCTGCTACTGTATTGAAAACACAGTTCCCTAATTTGTGGAAGAAATTTGAAAGCCTGTGAATCTGTGTCTTGCAATTAACAGGGTACATTGTGTAATTAATGTTAACCTGTAGCAAGTAACAAGTGTAAAATTTACAGTAGTCTCTTCTGTAAACTCAGATGCACTATATCTGAGAGATAACGTATGTGTGAAAAAAAGGTAATGCTAAGTTGTCATCCTTCAGACTCTAATTAATCAGAAATGACAGAGACTCCAGCTCTAGTTGCATCATGTGCTCAGGAAATTCAGGTGCATTTCTTAGCTGCAAGCTACTAACTGTGGGTCTGTGGATCTAGCTGTGGAGGGTAGTAGCGCCACACTGCAAAAGTCTCAAAAACACTTTCTTCTACTCATCAGTTTCACATATGTTTTGCTCTGTTTCAACCAAACATTATTAATCCAGCAGCTATTTTTGTGGTGGTCATGGACCTTTTGATGGTGTAGTGAATGTGAAGGATGAGAGGTAGTGCTCGATGTCGTGTGTGTATCACCATCACATGAGGCTGTGCTACCTGAGCAGTTTGCCCAGTGGCTGCATGAAGTGAACTGGAGACATTTGATTACTGTGCAACTGCATAAATGAAGGGCTTGTAACAGAGGTATCATTTCTAATAATTTCTTGTGGAGAGCATGTCCTTCAACTTCAAGGAAGGCTGAGGTGATTAAATCACACGTCCCATGCTCTTGCTACCTCACCCACGCTAGTCACAGGGAAATGGTGTGGGCACCGCAGTGGTCCTGAAGAATGAAAATGAGGCCCAAAAAGAAATGTTTGCTGCTTGGCATCCTCAGAAAACCATCTGGGTTTAGTTTTATGCTGACTTCAGACTGTGCTGTATCTAATTTAGCTCTTTCAAAAGTGATGATTCTGTTTTTCAGTAGTGAAGCTCAGAGCACCTTGCAAAGGCAGGATTGTGATTGCTATTTTTTAAAGATCATAGAATCACAGAATAGTTTGGGTTGGAAAGGATCTTCAAAGGTCATTGAGTCCAACCTGCGTGCAATGAGCAGTGACATCTTCAACTAGATCAGATTGCCCGGAACCACATCCAGCCTGGCCTTAAATGTCTCAAGGGGTGGCACATCCACCACTTCTCTGGGTAACGTGTTCTAGTATTTTACCACCCTTACTGTAAAAAATTGCTTCTTCATGTCCAGCCTGAATCTCCCCTCATTTAGTTTAAAACCATCACCCTTCATAAGATGAGGAGACTGAGGCCCAAGGAGGAAAAAATGTGTTTGCTACTGGTCTTTAAATTGTACTTCTTGAAAAATTGAAGTTCTAAGATGGATGATAGTCAGTTCAGTCTTTTACTGTAGATAATGAGCCTGTGCTTGAATCATCTTGTGTCCAAACTGTACAGGTTGCAGGTTTCTTTACATCGTTTCAGGAGAGAGGGCTGAAATTCAACCTACTGCTCACTGTGGATCCATATTCACAGATAATTAAGTTTGGACACTACGGGCATGCATGATCAGTGCTAGTCTGTCAAGATGTTATCCTGTAGAATCTTGACGTTATATCAGAAACCACCGCAGAGAAGAAAATCTGTGGTGGGCTCCGTTCATCAAGTGTGATTGGATCTGGTGAGAAAATATAAAATAAGGAGAATGCTTGAGCTCATCCTAGACTAAAAATGTATGGGTACACCAGACACAAGAAAGTGACACTGATGGACTGTACAGTGCAAAGAACATACTCTGAATTATGTGCAGCCTGCATTACTGTTATAGCATGGTCTGTGGCCTGTGCATCACAGAGTCTAACACAGCTGCTGCCTTCGGTTACATTAGTGAGAGATGTTTAGGTGGTTGTATTGAAGAGAAAGCACAGTCCTCTTAACTTGTATAATTGCAGACAAAGGAAGGCTAGTAAAATATTTGTCTATGGTAGGGCAATGCCATCTAGTTACCAATCTACCAGCTGTCAGGCTCCTGACTCACATATAATGCAAACTTGACCATTTTATATCCTCCGCCTTACAGCAAAATGTCAAAGTCCTTCTAGGTCTTGTGGGCTTTTTTTAATGTCATCTATATTGCATTGTTTCCTAAGAGGACCTTTGAGGTAGTATTTTCAAGGTATCAGTGGTGCCTGGCCCTTGAGTGCATTCAGTGGTATGAAGGGACCCTCTTCAAAGCCATCCTGACTGCAGGCTGAGATCTGAGAGGTCTTCAGAACTTGAGTGTCAGAAACATTTGTGGTGAAAACCAAGGTCAGACCTACACGCCTTTGGGAACATTGGATATGTTTATCGCTGGGGTGGGGGAGGAGGGAGGGGACGGATAAGGAATGTTTGTTTTTTGCTGGGTTAGTTTTTTTTTTTTTTCCTTCCTTTAGGTGGAAGTTCTCTCTATTTTGTTCAGAATTGCTTCAGGTGGAAAGTAAGTTCCCACCCTGGAGCAAAAATATGCCTGGCAAGAGAGAGTGTTGTAAAAGCAGCACTTCATACAGTTGATTTTTGCCGAAGTCAAGTCCCTCTGGGAACAGTTACAACTGGTAAAATTTTTTAGCAAGCTTGAAGCTACTCTGAATTTGGGGTCTGAGGAAACCTCTCTGTATCTGCAGGATAGCAGGCGTTACATGAGTGTCATCATCGCATGTAACTTTTCCTTCTGCCTGGATACAGTTAAGGTGGGCCCTTGAATCTCTCAGACCCAAGCTGGAGCAAGAAAGGGGCCATGCTGCCATAGTAAAGCAAAGGCTTACTGTAAAGAACATGTAAATTAATTCATCAAGGAAATGTTTGAATGCTTCTGTGACCCATTCTTCAGGCCTAGCAGCCCCATTTATTTTTTTATTTATAGCATCAATAGAATCGTAGAATGGAGTCTTTGACAAAATAATTTTTGGGAATTAATGAGGGAATTTCAAATAAGTATCAAAAGGGACTAAATAAAAGTGTTTTAGCAAAGCACATATTGATGGAAATCTGGTGATTACAAGCTCGCTTTAAAGATCTATCAACCACAGTACCTTTATTTGGAGGAATCACATTGCTTCAAAGTATATATGTGTCAGAATCTATTGATCATTAAGATGCAGTCATAATTGGTTAAAACATGTAATAGTGTGTTTTGTACTATATTGCTTATGGCCAGACTTTGGGAAGGAGCCTGTTTGTAGCCACACAGAGCCAGTGTTTTAGAATCTAAATAAACTGCTATATTTTTCATAAGTTCCGGGGGGGGTGGTAATAAAAAAAAAACCAAAATAAAACAACTCTCACCCAGTGCAAACAACTTAGAATATTTGGGCTTTCCTCTTTTTGTCTTTATTTTTAACCAGGGACCCACACTGAACACTGGACAGTTTAGCTTCTCAAATGTCTTTTTTTTTTTCTTTTTAATCTTGTGCCAGGTGGTTAAGAAGCGGGCAGCAATGGTATTCTGGTAGCCTGCTTTCAGCATTATTTGCATACCTTTGTATTTCTCCATGGTGATCAATGCTCAGCCATAGTGGAACTTCAGTCAGTAAAATTTATGTGCAACTGTTAAAGTAATTTTATTTTTAATGAGTCTGTTCCAGGGATGTTAATATCCCTTTATAAATATTTATGTTTTCAATATGTCTTCATTTAATTGAAAAGGTTCTTCACAATATTTTCAGACAACCGCAGGTAGTAGGCATAATGACATATCAACACTCTGACCTTTTAGCTTCTGGATTTCTGTTAGTTAATCCACGTTTTGCTTGTCCATGTATATTACATTTTAGTTTGTATATGATTTTCCTATATAGGCTATTGGAATAAAGGGTGTTTTCCATACAAACACCTTAATAAACTGGAAAGGAAGAAAAAATGCTATTGCATACTAGCAGCTGTCATATAGACTGTCTTGAGTATTGTAATCAGTGTGCACTGCTATTAGAAGTCCACACTGAAATGTTTGGTGTTTGCATGGTCATCAGTCAGAAGGATGATCTTAAGTCATATCCATCAATACAGCAACAGCTTTTGATATTCATAAAGTTGATTTGAAATTACTTTGATTATTTATCTAAGAACACTGCTCATTATAATTTCCTGTTGCCATCACTTTTATTATGTCTTAATGAATTTCTTCTACTATCCGTGTCATTTTCCATTGTATGAAATGCACCAAAGAATTATGGCTATGAAGAGGTGGGAAGCAATTGTTGCCGGTTCCATGGAGAGCTTGCTAGTGTAGGCTCCTTCCCTAGTAATGAGTTGTTAATGTGATTTCCACCATTGCCCCAGAGTAACTCAAGCAGTTGCTTACCTACTGGTTCCTTGAGAAATAATCCCACAGTCAACAGGCATTGTTGAGACTATTTTTACCTAATGGACCATCTACTTTATTCTTTTTTCAGCTTCTTCTCATTATTTATAGGTAACCTGTCAATATCCTTCTTTTTGCTTATTTTCCATAACGTTGTTAGCTGGTCCAGGCATTTTTGCATTTTAGCATTTTTATTCATTGTATTGAAAAATCTGCAATTTTGCAAATAAACCCCCTGTAGCTGCTGAGTCTGCTTGCTAAAAGAGAGTCCTGTGTAACAGGAGTTAATAACACATGAGTGATTTACACAGATTAATTCAACTTCATGTAAATCATACAAGCAGTTTTTGCTGTAGCTCAAAGGTGATGAAGAAGATGCCACAGCTAAAAAATACTGCCTTTTAAGTTTTTGTTGAATAGGTTTTTGGCCTTTTAAAATTCTGATGGTTGTTACATACTTCTAGAAGAGCCTTGTGGAAACTTGATGTTCTTTTTGTTCTCTGTCACTTTTGAACTAAAAGTTGGTATTAATGAATGTGGGTCCATATATGATAATACTAAAAATATCAGTTAAACTGAGTGTAGTATTCTTGCAGCTCAGCCTTAGATAGAAACTTAATAACAAGTATGGCTTTTTTTTCCCAGCTTATCCAAATCTTTGCCTGAAGGAAAGAGTCTGCAGGAGCTTAACTGCACTTTCGGTACTTCTGAAGGTGGACTGCAAGGCAGAGCGGATGTTGTTACCCTCACCTATTGCCAGATTGAAGATCTGGCAGCTCAGCTGCAGCAAGCTCGATCAGAGCAAAAGGACACAGAGCTGAAGCTCCAGAAGGCCCTGGAGGCTTCACAGGAGGCTAATGAAGAAGTTCAGAAGTAAGTCACTTGACTTCTTTCAGGGGAAAATTGCAGTTGTAAACCAATGAAACATTTCTTCTGGTATTTTGTCTATGACTGAAAGTGTGTTGGTACTCAGAAAAGGTCCCTTAAAATGATTCCTGATTTGACAGCCATTCAGCTCATTTACCTATTCAGTGTGAAGACAGTCATTTTAACAGTTTTAAAGCATTACACAAGTCAGTGTGCCTATCATTACTGTTATGGAAGCTGCTTTCTACATGTGCAAGGCACAGAGAAAGTGCTTCTGTCTCCTATGAGTGGTTTTCGCTGTCTTTCACCCTATGCCAATCCTATGGCAACAGTATTTGCCTTTATAATTGCATGGTAGGATATTAAGGTTCTCATTTTCACTCTGTTACGCATCTGGCAGGTTTCATGCCACCGTAAATACTGATGGGGTTGTTTAGGGGTGGATTCAAATCTCACTGAAACCAACAGGAAGTCTCTGAGTCACTGAACAGAGATTGTATTCTTTACCATCATAAGATTTCCTGTTAAAAGGTTACTGAACTCCAAAACCTGAAGTTCATCTCTACTGAAGTCCTTACTGTCATGTTTGTTATTACTAGCATATAAGCCTTTGGAAGTCTGATTGCTGGGACAAACAAATGTGCAAGCAGAGCCTCTTCACAGTCTGGCATTTCTCATCTTTGCGTCACATTGATCAGTTGCAAAATGCCTCTCTCTCACACCTTTCCAAGGTGGTTGATGCTGAATTGATGCAAATTACCCTGTCTGTCCATATTTATCTTCAACTTTAATGTCTACATCATATTTCCAGAGTGGCCAGAAACTGGCTTATAATATATTGCAAAGACTTAACATGAGTTCTGTTTAAAAAAATGCATTCAGAGTTCACCTATTAAACTAAGAAATCAGATTTTTATATTTTCATTTTGTTTGTAACTACATAAAATGTAGTTAAGATATATATATGAAAACACATATTTTCAGTTATCTCTTTAAAACCTCCAGTGTTTGTTTGAGAATCATTCAAATCTCTCTCCTAAACACTTAGATATATTTGAAATTTCAGCAGGTGCATGCTTGATAAAAATTAACCTATAAAAATAATTACAGCATGTTAATTTTGGCTGAACCTTTCTGTACCTTGTTTAACGTTGTTATGTCATTTCATTTTATTTATAAACATTTACTAGCCATAGATGTTTAAGTAAAGGTTGGTTTGGTTTTGTGTTTTCTTAGTGAAACAGTCTTGTTTAATCCTGTGTAACCAGGGTGGCCAGAGTAGAAGTGCAACCACAACCTGAATTAAAGTGGTGGTCATGCACTGCTATACTGAAAAGAATTTATACAATTTAACATGCTCAACTACTTGGGAGAATTTTGGGCAGGTTAGTTTTCATTATTGATGAGATCAGACCACTGAGCCTACAGCAAAATTAAACAATTGGGTGAAGTCTTTTGATGACAATAGCATGCCCTTTTTACCAAGAAAGTGTGGAAATGCTCTGTGCGTCTTCCCAGCACCCGGAGTCATCCACCCCCATCTTATAATTCAACCTGCAAACAGATTAAGCAGCTGAGTTTGTGGAAAGTGTGTTTACTTTGAGCTAAGAACCCTTGTGTGACACTATAGAGATTCCTCTGACACCTCTGGGAGAGCTACACAGACAGTTCGTACTCATCAGCAGGGAAACCAGGCTGAGAATTCCCCATTTCTTTGTAACCTCAACCGCTTCATACAAATCAGTGTTTGGCAATTAGGCAGGAACTCATTTGTTAGCTTAGCTTTTTATTTCGAAGATGTAGGATATTCTACATTTCAAAAACGAACTGACAATTTATAAACCTGTCAACAGAAAACCTTCTTGGTATTAATTACAGTAGTAGTAATTATTAGAACCATCTTAAGAAGGTGCTTATTGTAATTTAAAATATGACATTACGGTTCATATCCTAACTAGGGTTCTGAAACATCTGTTTTCTTGACTTCCTCTGGATGCTCAACTAAAATTGAATTCTGACATATGAGTGAAGTATTTTAACAGCTATATAAAGTAGTCTCTTATATTATTCAGTAAAATATCTGAATAATGTAATAGTTTTTAACTGTAGCAACAGTTAAAAATCAGAACAGAAAAAAATCTAAGCTTTATTAAGAAACAACATAACTAGAACAATTAGTGTTGGAAAAGGATGTGCTATGTATCTTCGTACCATGTGTTTTGCTGGTGTTCGCTATGCCTTTGCTAATCTGTTCTCTGACAACACTAAAGAATTTTTTTGCACACTTAAAAACTTCATTGTTTGCAGTCAGCATCATATGCTGAGTTTGAAATACAGATGTAGTTTCTCCACAGCATTGCCCTTGTGTCAGCCATTTGTGTACACACCTCCAATTGCTGCTTTCTAAACATGAGATCTAAGTCAGAATAGCAGTCCTGTGTTTTGCATCAAGACACAAAACATCTAAAAAATGTCTGGATCCTATCCCACATGAAACAGCAGCTGTGAACCAGAAGGGGGATATATTGGAATCCGCTTATAGTGAACTTGGACATAGTAAAAGTCTGTTTATTCTGAAGAAGGGTGAACATCTCAAATCAGCTCACTGCAGTGTGAGATATAAATTGCAGCTATGTGCTCTTGCCTGTGAAGGTGCTTTGCCACCCTAGCAGGGGTGGTGACATGAAACACAAAATGTTGGTGCGCAGAGTGCAACCACACAGATTTAGCAGCATTTGTTTGAATCTGTTTTGATTTTGAAATATTATCAAGATGCACATTAGACTTTTAAAAGAGCCCAATTACTTTATAAAGCAAGTACCCATTTTAACTGTGTGGTATATGTAAATAAATACATGTATGTGCACGAATAACATAGTATATATTTATTCAATAGGAAATGTTGATGATCAGCGTGGTAATATTTTAACCTATGGTCTGTAGAATGGCTATAACTACAATTTTCTATGTTTAATCAATGTTTTTAATTCATAGTTACAAAGAAAGAATTAGGACAGTGGCACAGAATTCACCAGGAGTGTTGGCACAGTGCCGCAGGCCCCCTGCAAATTCATCCTGCTGGAGAAGCCAGGAACCAGCTGGTTCAGCCCCAGCAGGGAAATGGGACTGACCTGGAGAAGGTGGCTGGAAAAGCCTCTGAATTAATTAATGCCTCTGCCAGCAGAAGAAGCAAGACATTTTAAAACTGTTCTTCCTACTGGAACCTCTGGTATTGAGAAGTGGCCACTGATGTCAGCAGTATCAGAGGAGGTTATAATGTAATACCAAATCAGTATTAGCCAATTATTAGTAAAGGTTGAGGCCACTTTAGATGTGTTTTTTTCCAGGAAATGTTCTATTTTTCTGCAATACTTTTGCAGTTGGAGTGAAATTTAATGCATTTGTCTATTGAAGGCTTCTATTTTTTTCTCACAATTTAATGATTCTAGCTCAGTAAAGCATAGCTCTCTTGTGTGTGAGCACAGTCACACTTGCATGCTCACATGGCTGTGTAAGGTGGCAGCAGAGGGTGTACATGTAGAATTTCTGTGTAATCTTCTAAAAGCAAACACAAATCCACAAAGTAATAGTGCAATGCTAAAATATACAGGTATGAAAACAAGCATAAATGTTGAGAAACATGCTGCTTGTGCCCTTTGCTGAGGTAGTTCTGGCTATGAATAAAGCTAATATTAAAGTTATTACTTCATTTATCTGTAACTGTTTATTAGAGAGACCTTTTGATTTAGGTTTTTTCTTTTAAAGAGGAAGTTATTAGAGTTACAGATTTGGATAAAATCTTTCAGTGGATTGAATACATAAGAAAACTAAGAGATCTTCTGAATAAACAGATAGTTTTATCAAATGAAATTACTATCTGTCATAAAAGAAATATTACCCTTAATGACATTTGCTTTACCTCTTCAGGTATGATTTTTTTGGCCATGTATCATTCATTGTTACTGGAACACACCCTTTTTTTGAGTAGTCCTTGATTTCCCTCAAGCATTTCTGAACACGCTTTCTCTGCTTTTGTAGTTGTTCATTTAGTTTCTTATCTGATGCTGATAAAAAAGTCTATTGATGACACAACAAAAATAAACAGTTCTTCCCAGCATTCGACACAGTTGGAAATAATACAAAAAACTGAAATAAAGAAGCAGCAAGCATTTATTAAGTGGTTAGAGTCCCCCTCTTCTGCAAGTAAAACTAATCTGCCTTCCAAGTATGGGAGCTGCATGCGTTTCACATCGATGTCCAAGACGTTCTCCAGTGCTGGCTGGAGGGTCTAATCTTTCCCAGAATGATCTGAGCAGTGCAGTTCAAGAACAAGGATGAATATTTGAATAATCACACCACAATGTGAGGTGACCCTCCAACAGGGGACTGGTCAGTGACACATATGGATTTTGGGAAGACGCTCTGATGCTCTTTTTTAACACAGCTGTGAGAAGAATGTGACTAAGACCCAGTAGTCTTTCTGGAGTATAGCTGGCACAGGAAACCATGAGGAGAAGAGAATTTAACACATTGGTGTAAGAGAGTCCGCTTCATTGATGGGATCTGAGGGGAATGTCTAATGACTGGAAGAATCAAACTTGGCAATGAAAACACAAAGCTCTTTTCATCAATTCAAACGCAGACTCTAAAGCTGCAGATGGTTACCTCCAGCCTTGCCTATTCAGTGCGGGGTTGTATAAAATGGCACTTTGGTGAATACTAATAGATCAAAACAAAGATTTAATAACATAAAGATGTGGTGTTCATTTTTAAATGAGGATACAGGTCAGTGTCTCTAAAAAGAGTGAAAAAAGTATCTTTATGTATGGGTCTAAAGTCTCTGGAGATTTTAAACTGCAAACATGATATCTTTAGTGAGCAGATTGTACCCGGTACAGTGCAGCTATTCAGGGAACCTGCTAAAACCAGGATTTCTGAATTATTATACTAATTGAGACCATTTGCAACATGCAAATGTTGTTAACTAGTTGTCTCCCTCTTAAAAT